CAGCCACCTCCCCTCTCCCCGCGGCTCGGAGTCAGGCTCTAAGACGCTCCCCTGTGTGGAGAGCACTCTATAAATTGTTGTTGTCATGTCGATGAGCCATTTCATAACGTTTCACAGAAAAAATGTAAAGTGAATTGACTGTGTATTTTGCGGGCGAAACACGGCAGCCAATTGCGCACAGCAGCGTCCCACAGACAATCGTGGATCCAGTGACCAAATTATGATTATTATTGTTATCGATTTTTTGAAGGGTTTATTACCCCCGTAAAGCAATCTGCCAATTGACAAACAACCAGGTTCCTACTTACTGTTAGGTAAACAGAGGCGTGCGGAGTAAGGAAATTTGCCTAAAATTTCTCCCCGCCCAGAAATTGAGCCCTGGTCCTCTCGCTTGCGAGGCGAGTGCTCTTACCACTAAAGAACAAACCCCCATATTATTCTTTGGATTGATGTAATAACAGAGGCAACAATGACAATTTGAATTCATAGAGCATAATAATATTGTATCGGACCCAGCGCCCCTCAATCCCAGGAGGACATCTCAAAGCAGGGTCTGGCTGTAAAACGTAGTGACTGTGTGTTTATTATTGCAGCCCCATGTGTGAACAGCAACGTCCCTGCAAACAGAGTGAAGCAAGTGAGAGTTTTAACGCAGGATAGAGTCTCGGAGCGCCACAGTATCAAAACGTCTCAGAGATTCACACAAGAATATCTGTCCAGTGACAGTTGTCATTTTCTTAGACACAAAAAAGCTGCATTTGTAACGCAGAGAATTTCTGCCAACAACAACAGAGACAGCCACCAGCAAATACCGATATTCCAGAGAGAGAGTATCAGACAGGGACTAGACAGAGAGAGTCTGAGAGACAGGGCAGGGCTTTCCTTCTTCCTGACCCGCCACTTCCTCTACATGACGGGCACCGAGGAGTTGGAGTTGGAGGAGAGGATGGGCGAGGCGTGAGAGGGTGGGCGGAGGAGACGGTTGGTGATGGAGAAGACGAGCCTGTGGTTGCTCTTGGGCTCCAAGATTATTTTGGAATAGAAGGACAATTTAGCGGGACGGAGGTGAGGGCGGAGCGGTAAGTTTTGATGAGGTTACAGCCAGATTTTCCAATGGACCGTTAAGTTAGATTTGAGTCAGGTTTGTTCAGCGGCACACACCTGTGCCTTAAGAGAACCGAGGTGACTGGTGTACCAGGATGACTTGTGTGAGTAGGAGGCAGTTTGGAAGGTGATGGGGGCATCAAGAGTGGCGGAGAGGGAGTCGTGGATGAGTGACCAAGATCATCATCGACCTCTCCTTGTCCACTGGCACCATTGCCATCCCTTCAAGATGGCCGTCAGCACCCCCATTCTCAAAAAACTTGCCTGGACCAATCCCTGCTCATCCCAATGATCACTCCCATCTCCCTTTCCTTTCCAAGGTCCTGAAACAAGTCGTTGCTTCCCAGCTTTCCTTCTTCCTGACCCGCCACTCCCTCTACAAACCCCTCCAATCGGGCTTCTGCACTATTGTAAGAAGTTGCATTAATAGCCTTGGGTAAAGTTACAAATTAAATTTTGTCAACCTGTGACCAGGGCTCCCTCTGTCTAGTCATCCTCCTTGACCTCTCTGCCGCCTTCAACACTGTCGACCACTCTATCCTCCTACACTGCCTCTCCTTTCAGCTCATTCTTCATGGTTTTGCTGTTGCCTGGTTCAAATCTTACCTTTCTCATCATCTCATGTTTTGTCCATGAACACTTCTGCTCGAGCCCCCACACAATCTTGTGTGGCGTTCCTCAGGGCTCTGTCCTTGGTCCTCTCCTCTTCAATATCTACATGCTCCCTCTTGGTGACATCATTGGCAGACATGGGGTCAACTTCCATATGTATCCGGATGACAATCAACTCTTTCTCTCTGCCACTACTGTCGACTCCAGGACCACTGCTCTCCACATATGGGGGACTCTCAGCCTGATTGGCTTTCAAAGACCTCTACGGCCCTCTGTGACCTGCTAACTCCATACAAATCTGTCCACTCCCCCTCTCTGTGTGTCTCTCTGACAGTGGGTATAAACTGGAGACAATGTCAGGGAGTGTAGAAGAAGCTCTGTCTTCGATCCATGTCCTCTCCTTGGGGTGGGGGAGCAATGTGCAGAGAGCATTGAGTGAGTGAGGGAGTGAGGGAGGGGGGAGGGAGGAAGGAAAGAAGTGGCAAAGAGTGTGTGAGGCACAGAGGACAGTTTATTCACTGAGTGGCATTATGTTTTACAAAAATAAAGGGAGTGGGCAAAACTGTGGCAAATGGAATTCAATGTGGGAAAGTGTGAGGTCATCCACTATGGATCCAAACATAGCAAAGCAGAATACTTTCTAAATGGTCAGACACTAAGAACTGTGGAGGAGTAAAGGGATTTGGATATCCACATACACAAATCACTAAAAACATACCCACAGGTACAAAGAGTTATCAAAAAAACTAATGGGATGTTAGCCTTTATCTCAGGGGGTGCTGGTATTGTACAACAACAATAACTTGCATTTATACAGCGCCCTTCACGTGGGGTAGCGTCCCAGAGCGCTCCACAGTTGCGGAGTCTGACAATGAGCCGAGGGGAGCGGGAGGGGGTAACCATAAGCATTGGAGCCTGCTGTGTGATGAAGGTACGGAGATTCGTGCCGGTGGGTATCCAGGCGGAGTTTAGAATTAATTGTATTTTGTGTATGGTGGAGCTGGAGAGACCAGCGAGGAGGGCATTGGAGTAGTCCAGCCAGGAAATGATAAAGGCATGGACAAGGGTTTCAGCTGCGTCAGTTGTGAGGTACAGATGGAGGCGGGCAATGTGATGGAAGTAGAAAAAAGCGTTTCTGGTCAGGGAACGGACATGTGGTAGAAAGGAAAGCTGGGGATCGAACTGACACTGTAGAGGGAGTGATGTTTCAACTGTTTTGAGCCTTGGTCAGACCCCATCTGGAGCATTGCGTTCAGTTTTGGAAGGCAGGAAGGATGTATCGGTCCTGGAGGGGGTGCAACCCAGATTCACCAGAATGATGCCATGGCTTAAAGGATTAAATTATGAGGACAGGTTGCATAAATTTGCTCTATATTTCCTTGAGTTTAGAAGGTTGAGGGATAATCTGATTGAGGTTTTAAAATAATAATGGATTCAATAGGGTAGATACAGAGGAACTATTTCCTCTGGTGGGTAACACAGAACAAGGGGGGGCATCATCTTAAAATTAGAGCCAGGACATTTAGGAGTAAAATCAGGAGGCAGTTTTTCATCCAAAGGGCAGTGGAAATCTGGAACTCTCTTCCCCAAAAGGCTGTGGATGCTGGATTTCAAGACTGAGGTGGATATTTGTTAGGTCAGGGTATTAAGGGATATGGGGCAAGGGAGGGTAATTGGAGCTGAGGTACAGATCGGTCAAGATCCTACAGAATGAAAGAACAGATTTGAGGGGTGGAATGGTTTACCCCTGTTCCTAAGTCACTGTAAATATTTTAGTTTAACATTCCCTTCATAATGTCCAGAGAGAGAGGGAAAGAGACAGAGCAGGAAAGAGAAAGAGTGCGCACGAATGAGAATAAAGAAACAGAAGGAAAGAGAGAGGGAAAGCGAGCGAGAGAATAAGCAAAGATTGACTATGTTGCAAACATACAACACATCTTCAGTGCAAAGTTATTTAATTTAGGAAGACGATCCTTAGGAATAATTTTCCAGAAGTTTTCGTGACTCTCATTCGTCATTGAGAGGAACAAAGGGTCACCCTGAAGTTCACACATCTCCATCTGAAGATCTTTTGGTTGCTGCTCAATTGACGCCGCCTTATTATTTTCAATAAACTAATGTTTCCCACTTTTGCATTTGCACAGCGCCTTTCAGGTCGGGAGGATGTCCCAAGAGAGGGATTTGGATCCGAGCTGGGAGTCAGTATGGGTGAGGGCGGAGGGCAGGGTGGGTACGAGGGTGGCCGAAGGCTCGGTCGAAGAGGAGGATCTTGAGACTTACACTGAAATCCTCTAATTTCCACTTCTATCTTCCGTTTCCTACCGGGAATGATATTCCTGCTGGGCTGACCGCAAGAGAGGCCCCCCCCATTGACCACAAGAGAGGTACACACCTGTGAAGTCTGAAATGGTTTGCAAGCCCCATAAAATCACCCAGAGAGAGAGAGAGTGGGAGAGGGAGAGTGATTATGTGAGGGACCGAGGGTTAGAGAGGAGGGTGGGATCACGACTCACCGGTTGGTGTGACTGTGAAGCACAGGATAAGAAGGAATCCGTCGCAGTTCATGGTGGGTTTGCGCTGAGTGGCCACTGATTGCGTGAAGGCAGAGAGTGCGACACAGGAGATTAGTGTGTGTCCAGCACCTCGGCCCTCCCCCTCACCCCCAGCTGATCCCGTCACATCTCTCCGCTCAGCGTTTGCTGGTAACCAGTCTCCAGTGACAAGCCCCCTCACCCCCTCAACCCACCCTCCCACCCCAAATCAAATGCAAACACAGAGATAGCGTCCTGGGGGAACCCGGTGCAGTGTGACAGTCAACTGGGGATAGTGTCGGGTGTCTGAATGACCGGGGCCAATAGAAAGTTGTGGAATATGTGCCAACAATTCCATTGAAAATTGCGGGGAGTTGATTGGCGCTATTGAGAGGTACATTTTATTGCTGACCTACGTTTTTTCACTTTATTGATAAAAACTAAACATGAAGAAATGACACATCACAGAGATTGTTGAAACCTGACCCTAACCCTGAACTGGGAGCTCGCCCCAGCTCTTGTTGGACAGTGCAAACTCTGCCTCCGATTGGCACCAACTGATCCCTGCCAGGCACCCTCCTCGCCCCTACTCCACCTGCTGGGAGCTTACCATGAGACCTCAGAGCCTCCCGGATTCCCCATCAATCCCCGCCAAACCCCATCCCACCAGCTCCCCCCACTGTACCCCTCCCAGATGACTCCCACCCCCCCCCCTAACAGCCTTCCACCTGCACTGTTGGTGGTAGCTGTTCTCTAAGCCTGTGGCTGCTCCCTGCTCCCTTTGCTCACTTTACTGAAGCGTTTGAAAAGTGTGGCCAGGAAACCCCCCCTCGAGCTCATCCCCTGCCCTGCCCCCGAGCCAGCCCCTTGCCCTGCCCCCGAGCCAGCCCCTTGCTCTGCCCCCGAGTCAGCCCCTTGCCCTGTCCCCGAGCCAGGTCCTTGCCCTGCCCCCGAGCCAGCCCCTTGCCCTGTCCCCGAGCCAGGTCCTTGCCCTGTCCCGGATCCAGCCATTTGTCCTGGCCTCTGTCCAGCTCCTGAGCCAGCCTCCTGCCCCACCCCTGAGCCAGCCTCCTGCCCCACCCCTGAGCCAGCCTCCTGCCCCACCCCTGAGCCAGCCTCCTGCCCCACCCCTGAGCCAGCCTCCTGCCCCACCCCTGAGCCAGCCTCCTGCCCCACCCCTGAGTCAGAGCCAGCCCCTTGTCCTGATGCCTGCCCCTGGAGGCCCTGGACCCTGACAGAGGGTTTGCTGGGTTTCCTGGTGAAGAAACTGGTGAGGGACCAGGGCGAGTCCACGGGGGGCCTGCTGTCTTGCTCCGGGGAGCTGCTGGTTTGGTCTGATCCCGGGAACCTGGTGTCAGGAGAGGAGTCCTGATCTCCAGAGAGACCCAGAGACCGGCAGGACTTCTTGCGGCCAGGTTTGTCCATGGAGAAGCTGATAATCAGGGAAGGTTTGCGACGCGAGGGAGTCGGGATCTCGGAGGGCTTTGTGGGAGGAGGAGGAGGCGAAGGCTGCTCTCCAAACACATCCGAGCGAAGGGAAGATGATGCTGGTGACGGGCTTGAGGATTTACTGCGAGAGAAGCCGACAGAAGGTGTGCGGCGGGAGCGGGAGGAGTGGCTTGCTTGCTCACAGGGGGGTTTTCGAGGAGAGGATGGAGGTCGCTCCTCCGAGGAGAAAGAACGTTTCTTGTCGAAATTAAACGATTTTGCCCGAGGTTTCCTAGTGGCTGGTGATGACGGATGACTTTCTGACTTCCCGATGAAAAAGAGAGACTTCAGCCCTGACGGGGAGTTGAGTGGGGAAGGAAGCGGGGAGGAGGGCAGGGAGAAGGGCAGGGAAGGTGTTGCTCGAGCAGCCAATGTGCACTCACTGAGGACCAGTTTTAGACCAGGAGACGGAGGGGTTTGGGAATCCTCTCCGCCTGTAGGAATCAGCCCATCAGACAGCCCTTTCTTCACGCTCCCTATCGAATCTGGCTGAGAATGTTCTGGAAGGTCAGCTTGGGAGTGGTCCTCAGGACCAGGGGAGCAGCTGAGTTGCGCTGCGGGTGGAGACATGTTGGAGCCTTTGGTGAAGTCTATGGGGAACGAGGCGAATGTGTGCCTCTGGTTCTCCCTGAGCTCCTTCTGCTTGGGTTCTTCCTGCCTGGGCTCCTCCTGCCTGGGTTCCTCCTGCCTGGGCTCCTCCTGCTTGGGCTCTTCCTGCCTGGGCTCCACCTGCTCGGGCTCCTCCTGCTTGGGCTCCTCCTGTCTGGGCACATCTTGGATAGGAGCCAGACCAGCAGTGCCCTCTCCCTCCGTGGCCTCCATTTCCAAACTCTTCCTCGTTTCTGTGCTAGATTCCTCAGAGATCCGTGAGGTGGCAAATGCCAACTGCTTGGCTTGCTGTCTGGCCCCAGGCCTATCCTGCAGGCGCAGCACCCTGCGCGACACTGCCCTCAGGTGCATAGCCTCCTCATTGCTGGGCAGCTCACAGCCAGCCTCGCTCTGCCCCTCGGCCCCTCGAATGAGCCTGAGTGAGTGGCTGCGGCCCAAGGCTCCGGGCTGGGTGGACCTCTCCTGCCTCAGGCTCCTGCGACCAAGGCCATTACTGTAGTCACGAAGCAGGGCGAGCTCCAGGCTGGCGGCCTGCATGGGGCACTCCCTGTGTGAGCAACTGGCGATAGAGGTTCTCTTCTCCTTCTTCTCCTGCTCCCTCCTCTCCCGCTCCCTCCGCTTGCGTTTGATCTCCAGCTCTGCTCGATCCTCGTTTTCCTAAAGTCAGAGAGAAACCATCACTACGTGGTCTGGCCACAATCTCAGTCACACGGCCATGTTCCCAGCGCCTGGAATCCACCTTGATTGGTTTGCAAGAGGTTAAACAGCTGCTTACTCCGCACCTCCCAACTGGTGGAACCATCGCTCAATGGGAAGGGATATGGCCCAAGCTACAGACAGGAAGATGGTGAACACGCTCTCATGCTTTTCATAATGAGCTGTATTGCCTACCAGGAAGCTCACAGGGAGTTTCCAGTTCCTACTATCCACCTAGTGAGGGCTCAAACCCGAGCTTGTCGGATATTGAAGGACCAACTGGTGACTATCCTCTTTGGGGTGGAGGTAGGCACAGGGAGCTGAACTGGCTCTAATATGACATGTTTGCACAATCACGGTTTCGGAGCCGAGCTGAGGGTCGGCATCGGGAAGGGATGGGAACAAGGGGAAGGAAGGTGACCGCAGGCACTGTCGAAAAGGAGGGTCTTGAGATGGGTCTTCCTTGAGAAGGAGGCAAGGGTGAGGGCGAGGCAGAGGGGCTGCAGGTTGGAGTTCCAGAGGGTGGGGGCAGAGTGGCTGAAGGCCCACCCACCAATAGTGGGGCAAGTGAGGCAGGGGACGTGAAGCAGGTCGGAGCCTGCTGAGCGGAGGGAGTGGGCAGGTTAGTAGGGGTTTAGGAGGTCACAGAGGTAGTGGGAAGCAAGGCCATGGAGGGCTTTGAAAGTGAGGACCAGGATCTCGAACTGCATCCTCTGGGTGATGGGTCTTGTTGACATTCAACTGCAGAAAGTTAGCTCTCATCCAGGACTTGATTAGAGGGGATCTTATAGAAACCTATAAGATCATCAAAGGGCATGATAAAGTAGATAGTGGGAGATTGTTTCCCCTGGTTGGAGAAAATAAAACAAGGGGTCACAACCTTGAAATCAGAGGCAGCCCTTTCGCACTGAGTTGAGGAAGAACTTCTTCACTCAAAGGGTGGTGAATGTATGCAACTTACTACCCCAAAGGGCTGTTGATGCTCAGTCCTTTAAACAGATTCAAGACTGAGATAGATAGATCTCTTTTTGCAAAAGGGATTAAGGGTTATGGGGATAAGGAAGGGTCAGGTTATTAGCTGGAGTTAGACTAGAAGATCAGCCATGATTGAATGGCAGGGCAGGCTCGAAGGGCCGAATGGCCTACTCTTGCTCCTACATGTTATGTTATGTTATGTTATGTTATGTTATGCTATGTTATGTTATGTTATGTTATGATGTTCGACAGGCAGTCTGTGAGGGCAGCAGTGGTCCTGGAATCGAGTGTGGAGGCAGAGATAGAGGTGGGTGTCATCCACATACATGTGGAAGATGACTCCATGTCTGCAAATGATGTCACCAAGAGGTAGCATATAGATATTGAAAAGGACAGGGCCAAGAACAGAGCCCTGAGGGTTGCCACATTTGGAAGGTACAGGGGCTGGAGGAGAAGCCATTCGTGGAGACAAAGTGGAGACGGTGGGAGAGATAGGATTCAAACCAGGCAAGGGCAGGTCCGCGAAGATTGAGCTGAGAGGAGAGGCGGTGAAGGAGGATGGAATGATCGATAGTCTCGAAGGCAGGAGAGTCGAGGAAGACAAGGAGGCAGAGAGAGCCGTGGTCGCAGACGTTCAGAATGTCGTTGTAAGATGCGTCCCTCCAGGAAGAGAGTGTACAATGCATTCCAACAACCTATCTGTGGGATTTCCATGTGTAGGTATAACAACTTGCACTTATATGGCACCCTTCACATGGGGTAATGTCTTGGAGAGCTTACAATAGGTGGAACTCTCCCCCACCCACCGAATACTCTCCACCCCACCCCCATACCCCGGGACTCCCTGTACCTGCCGTGCGCGGAGGAACCTGTGAGTGAAGCTGTTGAAGATGGAGCAGCACTCCTCCAGATTGAATCGCTCCTCATCCTCACACAGGAACTCAGCCAGAGCACGTCTCGCAGTCTCGAACGTAGCCACTGCTCCCCCCATCTCCGCCAGCTGGGTACCCGCCTCCTGCAACACAGACAGCCTGAGCCCTTCACACACACACACACACAACCTGAGCCCCTCACACACAGATAACCTGAGCCCCCCTCACACACACAGCTTGAGCCCTCATACACACTCACACAGACAGCCTGAGCTCCTCGCACACACACAAACAGGTTGAGCCCCTCTCTCACACAATACACACACACAGACTGAGGTTGCGGTTGGGTGCGGTTGGGTGGGGGACGGGGTTGGGTGGGGGCCGGTGGAGGGTGGGGGTTGGGTGGGGGTCAGGATCTAACCTGCACAAAGTCCTGCACCTGCTGCCACAGGTCAGGCTGGCAGCTCAGTGTCGCCCCCAGTGACTCCAGCTTCCTTTTCAGTGTCTCCAACTCACTGTGAACCTCCTGTGTGAACATCCTGCCCCAAAGAGTGACAAAGTGTGAGAGAGAAAGGGAGAGAGACAGAGTGTGAGAGAGTGGGTGAGAGAGTGAGCATGAGAGAGAGAGCGTGAGGGGGAGTATTAGGTATAAAAAGAAATAGTCAATCTGATGATGAAACTGACTATTTTGAATACCGAGATTCTGATAAGACCAAATATCAGAATGGAGGTCATTAGAGAAATTCAAGACGCTTAAATTGGCCGAAAAAAGCAATTCAAAAGCATATTCCAGAGAAGAGGGGGAAACCAGTCCCTCGGTCGCTCAACCAATTGAGGCTATTAAGAGAAATAGGCCAACCAACTCACGAAAGAAAATGAAAAATATATTCTGACAGGGTGAGCAGTATGGGTTCGACCCTAAACTGACTCTATATACCCGAGTACGGAGTTCGCAAGACGAATTCCATCGGATTGTGCAAGTTCCAAAAGATCTCTCCATGGAGGGATGGACAGGTCTTGTGATGCCAGGTGGGTTTCGAACGAACAGGATTTTTTAGGGTTCATACAAGGCAGAAAACATACCGCGAGTGAATGAGAGAGAGTGAGGGGTCAGGTGCCAGAACCGCATGGGAGAATAATAATAATAATCCTTGCATTTGATATAGCGCTTTTCACGTCTTCTAGACGTCTCAAAGCGCTTCATAGAATATACTGTAAAGTGAATTGTCTGTATATTTGTGGGCGAATGCGGCAGCCAATTGCGCACAGCAATGTCCCACAGACAGTAGTAGATTGAAAATGACCAATTTATTATTGTTTTTGTTTTGGAGGGATTACTATTAGGTGTGTGGAGTAAGGAAACTTGCCCAAGGTTTCGCCCTCTGCCTGGAATTGAACTCAGGTCTCTCGCTTGCAAAGCGAGTGCTCTAACCACTGAGCTACAGGACTCCGAATGTCACAGCAGGGAATTGGGAGGGTAAAGAATGCTCAGTAAGTTCAAAACTTGGGCAAAGAATCTTAGTAAAGGGGAGCGAGGAAAGAACGATCGTTGACAGGATTCCCAATATAAGAGCAGACCCAACTCTGCATCTGACAAAACACAAAATACTGCAAACGCTGGAAATCTGAAACATAAACAGAAGTCGCTGAGAATGCTCAGCAGGTCAGGCAGCATCTATGGAGAAAGGAAAGTGAGTCAACATTTCGGGTCCACGACCTGACCCGAAACGTTGACTCACTTTCCTTTCTCCATAGATGCTGCCTGACCTGCTGAGCATTCCCAGCGACTTCTGTTTTTGTTTCTGCATCTGACCACCTTTCTCCAGGAGGGAAAAACGGGGGCAGCAAAGACTGTTCTCGCCGCGGGGTAGCAGTCCACTAAAAAAATACACGGACCGCGCAAAAGCCCTTGTTAGGGAAATGGAGCCTGAGAGTTCCAATAATCTCTGTTTTCTGTTTCCCAACAGAAGCTAGTAATAATAATAATAATAATAATCCTTGCATTTTGATATAGCGCTTTTCACGTCAGGAGGACGTCCCAAAGCGCTTCACAGAACACACTGTAAAGTGAATTGACTGTATATTTGTGGGCGAACGCGGCAGCCAATTGCGCACAGCAATGTCCCACAAACAGTCGTAGATTGAAAATGACCAATTTATTATTGTTTTTGGTTTTTGGAGGGATTATTATTAGGCGTGTGGAGTAAGGAAACTTGCCCAAGGTTTCGCCCTGCCTGGAATTGAACTCAGGTCTCCCACTTGCAAAGCGAGTGCTCTAACCACTGAGCAATTGCACATGGGAAGAAAAACAGTTGAAAAATCCAGTGAGCATACCCACATACACACATAGAAAGTGTGTCAGGATTAAAATCCTTAACAGGCGTTCTGCCTGACATAAAAAATGTTGAAGAGTGATTGAGCTCAGCGATTTCAATTGCTAATTTGATTTCATTGCCCAATAAATTGGCAGTACAAATTTACCTGCAATCTGGGATTAGGAAGGACCTCATTATTCTTGAGTGAGGTGATTTAGTCAAAAGCGCTCAATGAATTATTTAAAAAAAAACTTATCATCCAGGAGAAAAGGTTTCCCAAGAAAATGGAGCAAATACAGGCTTTTAGGTGAGAACCCCTGGGGCACTCGCATCCAAAGTAACAGAATTGTTTTTCTAAAGAACTGTGTGGAGAAATTGGTGATGACTCCAGACAGGAAAGGATTTGTGCTATCATCTCAATTCAATTCTTCAGAGTCAGAACAATGAGAACTTGTAGTAAAAGATGCAGAAAAGCATTACCGGTACTAACACACTTCACTATACCACATCATAACATACTACACCCTTGGGCAACCTTTAGGACATCAGAAAGGTGGAATACACGCTGGTGGAAACGATTGGGCAGACATGCTCGCTCCCTCTGCCTGTATTTTACGAGCAGCAGCCAGTAGCAAAAGTGTCTGGTGACAGGAGTCGTTGATTGTGGCTTTGCTGCAGACCTCAAACTAACTAACAGATTGGTAACCTTCCCATTTGAACCAAAGAGAAAAAATTAGGAGGAGATCTCAAGTTGTTTTGACAACGCGAATGGAAAAAACAATTGATTCCGCTAAAACGAGTACAGGAATACATGATTACAATGGCCCATGAGGGATCGGAGAGTCTACATAATGGAATTGAGGGGATTCCGGAGAACTTAGGTGTGTCCTGGTGGCCCGAGATCATAAGAAAACAATACGTGGAGGAATGCACATGGTGCACACAAGTAAATCGTAGTAACGTACAACAAAAATTGGAACATGTCAAAATGGATCATCTGTGGAAGAGGGTCTATTTAGATTTTGTCGGACCCCTACCCAAAAGGGAAAGGGAGAACGTGTATGAGAGAGTGTGTGTAAAAACAGTGTACGAGAGTATGTGAGAGAGAGAGTTTGTGTGACTGCAACTGAGTCACAAAGAAGAGCTCCCACTCCCACCCACAAAACATAAGATTATTATAGTATTATTTCTCTACACACCTCGAGGCCTCTTTGATGTTCTTCAGTTTAGTGGGAAATTCCAGCAGCTTTTTATCATTTTTCTCCACCTCCTAGATAGACCGACAGAAACTGAGACCCTCCATCACACCACCATCCCCTCACAACCCTCCTAAGCCCCCACGCCCTCCCCCCCACACCCCCCCACATCACTCTACACCCCCCCACACCCTTCCTCCACACTGCTGCCCCTACACCCTCTGCCCTCACTCCCAGGTCAGGGTTATAGACACAGTAAAGCTCCCTCTAAAGCAATGATGTTGTTCACTTACCATCACCACAAAGTGCATCAGGTTCATCCCCGGTTTGTTGGCTCGCGTGTCAGCCAGTTTGAGGAGCGATGACATCCGGAAGCCCACTGCACTGCCAGCATATCCCCCCTATCACCTCCCCCAAGAGAGAGAGCATTAGCCCCTGCATGGCCCTTGTACGCCATAACCCCCCCCAGCCCTGTCCCCCTTCTCCCCGCCCAGCCCTGCCCCATTTCCCCAGCCCTGCCCCCCAAGCCCTGCCCCCCTCCAGCCCCCCTAGCCTTGTCCCCCAGCCCTGCCCCCCCAAGTCCTGCGTCCCTCAGCTCCCCCAGCCCTGCCCCCCATCACCCCCAGCCTGCAACCCTGTCTCCCCCCAGCCCTGCCCCACTGTTCCCCCCAGCCTGCCTCCGCCCAGCTCTACCGCCCCCAGCCCTGCACCCCCCGCAGCCCTGCCACACCCAGCCCTGCCCCCCATGCCCAGCCTTGTCCCCTCCAGCCGCCCCAGCCCCTCAGACACACCGCCCCACTTGGCCCCATCCTCTCACCTCGTTCATGTAGTTTCCTGCCTTCAGCACGAGCCGCATCACCGTGTGCAGCTCCCCACAGCCCAGCAACTCTGCAACACAAAACATGGGACATAGGACAGGAGACACGAGACAAGGGAAAGGAGACACGGAACAACAACAAAAAAATTGTATAGAACCTTTCACGTCAGGACGACGTCCCCGGTACGTACACTATGTGATGCGCAAAAGCAACTACATGCATTTACGCTGGGCCCTGTATGCGAGGCAGCATCTCAGAGCATTTAACAGTGGCGGAGCTTGACATCGAGCCGGGGGAGACATGGTCGAAGAGGAAGGTCTTCAGATGTGATCTGGAGATGGGACAAGGAGGGGAACAAGGCGTAGGGATAGAGGGGGAGAGTACCACAGGCTCAGAGCGTAGTGGATGAAAGCAATGGTGGAGGGGAGAGGACAAGTGAACAAGCAGGAGGTCAGAGCCAGCTAGATGGTGGAGTGGGAGTAAGCAGGTGGAGAGATAGGGAGGTGCCAGTGCATGAATGGATTTGTAAATGAGTGAGAGAATCTTGAAATCGATCTGTCTGCAATGGGTGATGGCGGTGTACGTATTATGAATGTTGAAGCTCCGGAAACCGTTGAGGAGAGCATTAGAATAGTCATGGAGGAAGGTGACGAACCCTTGGACGAGTGTTTTGGCTGAGTCTGGGGTGAGGTACAGTCGGAGATGGACAACATGGGGGAGGTGGAGGAAGGCAGTCCTGGTCAGGGACCGGATGTTGGGAAGGAAGGACGGCTAGGGTTTGAAGCTGACGCTTAGATTGCGCACGGGTTTGGTCAGTCTGAGGGATAGATTGGGGAGTTTGACTCCCGTCTGCACCAAACGCAGAGTCTATACGTACCATGAGCCGCCTCAGTCAGCGTGCGGAGACAGAACCGCAGAGACCTCAAACGTGGCTGGAATTCCTCCCTCACCACCATCGCTTCCAACCGCTCCGCGTAACTTAGTCAGGAACAGGGCATAGGTCACAGGTCAGAGAGCACCCGCAGCACTGAGACCTCCAACCTCCCCCCACCCCCACACCTCACTTCATATCCCCAGCCTTTCCCCTGCTCCGCACCCCATTCCCAGCCCTGCCCACGCCCCTACCCCACCTACCTGGGCATGTCCACCAAGTGCAGCAGGAATAGCTCTGCCTCGCTGAGCCCCACCCGGTCGCCCCTGAATCCTCGCAGCTTCTTCACCTGCCGCAGAGATCAGCAACCTCAGTGACATTCCCTCCTCTATTCCACCCCCATTCCCTGTTCCCACCCCCATTCCATTCCCACCCTCTTTTCCCCATTCCCTCCCCCATCCCCTTCCTAACCCACATTACCACTCCCATTCTATCCCCTCCCCCATTCTCACCCCATCCGCACCACATTCCCATCTACTATTGCCACCACATATCTCAGCCCATGATTTGCATTCCCAACTTATCCCCCATGCCCAGAGGTAACCTCGCCCACTGCTCAGGTATCAGATCATAGGGCCCAGCACAAGTGGGAGAACAAACCTCCTCCTTGTCTGGCAGCAGTTTTTGGAGCTCAATTAGTTTCTCAGCTCCATACGCAGCCGACGCTCCCTGTTTGATATCCTCCAGAATGTCCTGCACCGGCCTGAGAGAGGCCAAGACAGAGACTTGGTCAGTCTTCGGCCCAAACAGCCAGACACACACATACACACACACCCACACAGCCAGACACACACACACAGCCAGAGACACACGCAGGCAGACACACAACAACAACAGCAAAATTACAGTGGTATAACGCCTTTCATATCAGGAGGTCGTCCCAAGACCCTGGACAGTCAAGAGTTTTGGATCCTAGCTGGGGGTCGGGATCAGGGAGGGTGGAGGGCGGGGTGGGGAGCAAGCAGGGTAATCAAAAGAAGAGGGTCTTGAGATGGGTCTTGAAGGAGGCAAGGGAGCGGGCGAGGCGGAGGGACTGAGGGATAGAGTTTCAGAGGATAAGGGCAGAATGATAAAAGGCCCGACCACTAATTTGGGGCGAATGAGGTGTCGGATTTGAAGCAGGCCAGAGCCTGCTGAGCGGAGGGAGCGGGCAGGATGGTAGGAGGTTGGAGAGGCAGTGGAGAGCATGACCATGGAGGGCGAGGATGGGGTTGATAGAGTCACGGAGCCTGGTGTGGAGAGGATGCTTGATGCAGAGTTCCGGATGACCTGCAATCTATGGAGGGAGGAGTTGCGGAGGCCGACAAGCAAGGAGTTTACAAAGTCAAGCCTTGATGTAATGAAAGCGTGTATGAACACACAAACAGCAAGACACACAAACACAGCCAGACACAAACACACACACAGCCAGAGAGACACACACACACACACAGCCAGCGACGTACACATATACAGCCAGATACACTTATACAGCCAGACACACACAGGGATAGTTACCTTTTAAATTGTTTGAGGAAGATGCTGATATTCATGCTGCGTTTCGAATCCAGGATTGAAACCTGGGAGAGAAGCGGAAACGTGAGAGACTACACAGGTCTGACTGTAGCATCCTGACTGGGACACCGACTTTGTCCAGGTGGGGGCTGGCGGGGTACAGGCGGTGGGGGTGAAGTTACGCGTGTGTGGGGTGAGGTACAGGCAGGCGGGGTGAGGTACAGGATGGGTGGGGGGTTGTTGACATACAGGTGGGGGAGGTTGAGGTACAGGTGGGGGTGGGGGTGAGGTACAGGTGGTGGGGTGGGGGGTTGAGTTACAGGAGGGGGAGGGGTGTGAGTTAGAGGTGGGGGTGTGAGGTACACACCTCTACGGCCCCCCCTCCCCCCATGGCCCCTCCTCACCTCTGCGGTTCCCACTCTCCCCCGCGGTCCCTTCTCACCTCTGCGGCCCCCCCTCTCCCCCACGGCCCCACCTCATCTCCGCGGCACCCTCCCGCCAACCCCCATGGCCCCTCCTCACCTCGATGGTCCCCCCTCTCTGGGGGGATTTGGCACGGAAGCTCTTGCGGACGCTCAGGTTTTTGGGCTGCTCTCTGCGGCCGAACAGCTCCTCCATGGAGCTGGTGTCGATGTGGACAGCGCTGCGGTCACTCTCCCCCAAAGATGCCGTCCAGATGTTCTGCCGGCCAACCACACGGTCCTGGGGCAGCGTCTCCCAGTTAAAGTTCCTGAGCCGGGAGCCACGGGGCCTCCCGTAGCCTCCACCGGGGGGGGCGCCCTTGGCCGGAGGAGGGGTGAGTATGAGAGGAGAGTCTGTGTATGTTTGAGAGTCCATGTGTGACAGTGTGTGTCTATGCGAGAGAGTGTATGCATGAATCTCTGCTTAAGTGACTGACAGAGTGTGTAGAGTGTGTGTTCATGTATGCCATGTGTGACAGTATGCGTGTGTGTTTAGAAGCTCGACTCAGTGATGATAGCACTCTTGCCTCTGAGTCAGAAGGTTGTGGGTTCAAGCCCCCACGTGAGGACTTGGATTGTTAGCTGACGCTCCAATGCAGTGCTGTGGGGGGTGGGGGTGTTAGATTGTAGGAGGTGCCATCCTTTGGGTGAGACGTTAAACTAAAGTCTGGTGGCGCTATTGGAAAAGAGAAGGGAGCTTCTCTCTCCCGGAGTCCTGGCCAACAATCCCTCAAATAAAATTGGACTTCCTCACTCCACGACTGCGTGTAGGACACTTCTGTGTGCAATTGGCTGCTGCATTTCACTCACAAACTACACGGTCACTACACTGTACAGCAAATCCAATGAAGTGATTTGAGGTGTCCTTCTGACATGATAAAGCTGTATAATATCAAAGGCTTATTATTATTGTTGATTGGTTATTAATAATTATCCTTGCCTTTGATATAGCGCTTTTCACGTCTTCTCGACACCTCAAAGCGCTTCACAGAATATACTGTAAAATGAATTGACTGTATATTTGTGGGCGAAACGCGGCAGCCAACTGCGCACAGCAGCGTCCCCACAAATAGTCGTGGATTCAAGTAACCAATTTATTATTGTTTTCTTTCTTGAGGGATTTTTGGTGATGAGGGTCTGTCCTGGGCGGGCGTGTCAGTACTAACGCTCTTGTTCCTGTTCCCAAACTCCGCACGCCAATTGTGCTGTCAGTTGGAAGCTTCTGGAATCACACCACTCCGAGCTCGGATGAACGTTATCGGTGACTGACGATGCGGTGTTTCCCGGCTGCCGGCGACAGTGAAACCCGACCGATCACAACCTCCGCACTCCTCTCCCAGCAAGGGTGATGGAGGCGGAGCCGGCAACCAGTCCGGCTCCTCCTCCTCCTCCCCCTCCTCCCCCTCCTCCTCCACCCCCTTCCCCTCCTCCTCCACCCCCTCCCCCTCCTCCCCCTCCTCCTCCCCCA